TTGCAGAACGTGTGCCATGTTTTGCTTCGCTCATTTTGTGGGTGCTGATATTGGAGAGTGTGATCCTACAGAGGGTAGTCACAGGGGTTGGCCATCAGGGACCTGGGGAGCTCTGGTCCTGTCCTTGATGGCCTGTTCTTTCCTTGATCTCTGGTCTACTTGATCTTGCTTTTAGTTCTTTCGTGAATGGATTTGAAGCCTGTGCTTTTGCATCCGAGGAAGAGGAAGAGGAGGTTCCAGCATCTCAGGCAGCAGCTCGGGAAGAAGATAAGCTGGAGGCAGTAAGGTGCTACATCCGTTCAAACACAGCCCTGTACCACAAGGTTCTCTTTTATGAGCCAATTGAGCTGGCTGAGCTGCACACAGAGCTGAAACAGAATGGCATTAAAATTTCCAAGGCAAAGCTGCTGGACTTTTTAGATGCTCACTGTATCACATTTACCACGGCCGGAGCCCGGAAAGAGAAGGAACAGAGAAGAAAGGGGAACAAAAAAAAAAGGAGACGGTACTGAATGGAGCCCACTCCTCCATCCTGAAAATTTTGTACATGGAGGCCTTCCTGATAAGCTGGAAGCCCTGTTCCAGGCTGGTGCTAGCAGTGGTGCTGTGATCGGTGGGTGCACTGCTCCTCCTCGTGGCCTGCTGTCAGATGACATGCTGGAGAATGGGTCTGAACTGAACTTCCTTTCCAGCCCTCTGGGCCGAATTGCACAAACCCCTCTGGTCGCTGTCCTGCCTTCAGCACACAGATCATCTGGAGCCTCTTCCCCCTCCCCGATTTTCCTCCTGTGCCTTTTCTTTTGTTTCCATTTTTCTAATAGTTTTTAGGTCCCCAATTTTTCCTCGTGTTGGTGCTTCTAGAGGCAGGTGCTTCCCCCAGTGACACTTGCCAAGACCTTTTTCCTGGCCCTGGGCTGTGAAACGCTTCACTCTTCTAGTTCCAATATTCTGCAGAATAACCTGCCTGCAAGAAACTGGTCCCCTTTCCTCTGTGTAAAGCACTGAATGCTTAGACCCCAGCGACTTCCATCTTCATTTCTGCAGCCTACGATTGCCCTGCTGATTGTGAAGGCAGGGAGCATTGCAGAAATAGGCCTTTCTTCTGTCCCTGGCTCAATTTGCAATCTCTGATAAAACTCCTTAATCTGTGTTTCTTAAATGGCTGCAAAATGGTGGAGGTGTTTTTCTAGTCTCTTCGTGATGGCTCCCAAAAGTGCCCTCTGACACCAGATGTCGTGTGAAAGCCCTTTAGATTCAAACATTCAGTTCCGTATGTTCACTTGCATGCTGGATCTGTGTTACAGATACCATCTGCTCCCGTTTTTCTGAGCGCCTTTTTACCTTGTCAGTGTAGCTTGAGTATGTCCTTGACAAGAAATATTTTTAAGACAGTATTAGAGTGACCACTGGACCTCTTCAGCACTTCTTAAACCTGATCTAAAGCCTTCTCTGATCAGTCTTGTTTCCAAACTGGTCTGACCTTAGGTTGCAAACTGTCTGGGACTCTTGGGGAAGTCTTGGACCCTAAACTATCATCTTTTATGTATTTACTTTCACAACATCGTCTAGAAGACTTTTCTCTGTTCTGGCAGTTCTGAGTCTGCAAATCTCACTGGACAAAATGGACACAACACTTCAAAAAAAAAAGAAGCCAGATTTCGAAACGTATTTATATATTTGGAACATGCAAATATTTTTTTCTATTTTTGATACAGTATATCTTCGGGTTTATTTGATTTATATTATATACAATAAACAATTTGTAAGGTGCTAACAATAAACTGTAAATAACGTCTTATGATAGGCTTGGGGGGGTTCTAAGTGGCAACGCTGGGTCTAGTCAAGACCAGTAGAGTCTGCAACCTGTGCCCATACTGGCTGAAACCCCAAGCAGAGAACTGGAGGAAGAGGCGTTGACACGGATGCCCAGCAGCGAGGAGAGGTGGGAGAAATCTGGCAGTGGCCGATGAACGATGGATTGGCTACCTGGAGAGAGACGAGCTGCCCGGTTCAGCTGGGCTGTGCAGCCCTAAGGTAAGGGAGACTTTTGGGGGGAAGGTGTTGGGGTCTGCCGGGAGGACAGGCTGTGGGGAAGGGTCTGGTCTGGCCCTGGATGGGGAGGGCTGCTGGTGACAGGGGAATGGGTGACCACTTCTGAGCCTCCTCTTCTCCATCAGGTGTCCGGGGGGGACACCTCCTAGCAAAGCCTTCTGCCACATCTAGTGAATTTTCAGGAATTTGGGATGGTTTTCTTCCCTGGCAGTCACATCGCTTTTCCTCCCCCACCTCTTTGTGCAAGAGCTGCCAGAAGATGACTTTGTTCCATGAAAAGGAACAAGGCTTGCCTTAAGTGGCATTCTAGGAAATGTTGTTCCCCTCCACATACCGTGTATTTCTCTCTCAAGTACACACTTCATACAGGGAAAAAGCTTTGGTCTTACTCACCAGTCTTAATATGGGAAAATAAATAAGATCCCTTCGCAGCTTTTTTGCTCTGTTTTTAGGTAAGACATTTATGATCAAGGATTTTGTAATCAATTATTTATTACATCTTAGCCTTCAGTGTCACAGTTCAGTGGCTATAAATCACATTCATTCGAATAGCATTGTGTCATAAAAAACTTCGGCATGTTATGAAAAAAACCTGAATTTTAGTCACTGAAAGTGTCTCCATCCTCCTATCTTTGTCATCCTTGAACTTTGCCACTGGGCAGTCTTTGCCTGATGCAGAAAGATGATTTTAATATCACATCTGTGCTCTCAGGGCTTGGAGGTGAGCGCTTTGCAGAAGCTCGCCTCGATGCTTCCTTGGTGCTGAAGCTGACAAAATGAAATGTCTCTTGTAATTCTAAAACTTCTCTCAGATGATGAGAAAAGGATTTAAAATCTTCTACACCCTTCAAGACCACAAGGCCAGAGCTGACATACAGTGCAAATTATCTGAAAGCAATTATTCTTTTGCCTGCTTCATTAATCTGTAAGCAAAGCGTGCCTCCCCAGGCTAGCACTGGTGTTGCCATCTGCCAGTGAGAATGTGTTGGCAAACAGTTCCATTTGTGTGCAATTCTGCGTTTTCTTACCTTCCTAATGCAGGCTCATTTATCTTGGAAAATACATTGTCATCATTTTTCATTCCCAACTGTAACTGATAGTAACAGCTATCAAAAAATATTTTTATACTTGTTTGTTTTAGCACTTCCAAGGCTGCAGGAAAAAAAAAACCACCTTCTCAACTAAGGTATTAGTTGTTTTTTAAGTTAAAGAAAAGAGCAGATACCGTTACTGGTATCGCACAAAGCTTGTGTCTTACCAAGATGCTCTTGCCATAGGAGCTCTGAGTGAGCTTTGCAAAACACTGCTTTTAAATTCGCTGTGACAATAACACAATCTGTGGCGTTGGTGATGGATACTCCTTTGCAGCTACCACCGTGTTGGGTTGTGTATTGTCACCATTTCCTGCCTGAAAAAATAGCCGCAGTAGGTTTATTCTGAAAAGCTGCGCTGCAGATGTTTACGTAATAATCTTGCATGTGCAAAAAGAGCTGTTTTCTTACAGGGGCACAGTTCCATGTGTCCACTTACTCCAGAAGTCACCCTGTCTTAATGGCACTTCTGGAGCGGGCCTGATCCATCACCGTGGTCTCTGCCATGGCCAAGACCCACGTCCAAGCCACTTTAACAACAAAACATGAGAATGCTGTAAAATGCAGAGCGATGGCTGCTGTGCCTTCCCCTTTTACTGGGCCAGCAGAGCCCAGGTATTACACTTACAGCGCCAGTGTTTAAATATCAAAGGATAAATGCGAGAGCAATCCTTCCCGCAGTTCTTCAGAGGGACTGGAGCTGTTCTGGAAGCGCATTTCAAATGTGCTTGTTTGCTTTTCAGATCATTCCAGCATAAAACAGCTTTCAGAGGCGTTGCATACAAGCTGCTTGTTTAATGAAACACAAAGCGCCTGGGCGAGGTGACGCAGCCTTCAGCAAAGACGTCTCTGTGATTTGGTTGCTGTCCCCCAGAGGAGAGTCTCAGAGGTACCTGCAATATTTGTCACAGAATCCCAGAATGGCAAGGGTTGGAAGGGACCTCGGGAGATCACCCAGTCCAACCCCCCTGCTCAAGCAGGCTCACCTACAGCAGGTTACACAGGACTTCATCCAGGCAGGATGGAATATCTCCAGAGTCTGCCCAGGTTCCTCGCCTCTCCAGCTGCTCTACTGCCCAGGCAGTCAACTTGTAAGCTTAGATTACTAAGGAATGAGTTCTCACTACGGATTTAAGTGATTGCTAAGCATTTAAGCTCACGTCTAAGCTCAGCACAAAGCCTCCTTTCCCAACATCAAAGACCACATCTCCACGCTCGGGTCTCAGGAGGCTCCAGCAGCCTTGACGGTGCCCCAGTAGGGTCCTAACCTCTTGGAAGGGCTCTGAGCCGAACATACAAATTTCCAGAGCTCTGCTTTGGTGTCCTTTAGGTGCTTTCCTCTCCTTAGAAAGCGCTGGCTGCTGTTGCGTCTTGTTCACTGAGCTGCTGCAACGAAGGGCCCGTGTTG